TTCAGGGAACTGAAGTCCACAGGTCTTAAAGTTGCCCAGATTGGATACCCCTGCTTTAAAGCCTTTTTACCCGCCTATATTTATTCATCAAGTGGCGAAAGCAATCTTCCTAAAAGGACAGACATCTGCCAGGGCACTTCTTTCCAAACCTGGCAATGTTGGCTCATGGCTTCAGAGACCAAGCTGAAAGTTTGTTTTAGAGCAAAATGATGCCAACCCAGAATGGAAAGCTATGCTTTGGGTTCACACACAAAGTATGCCAATCCATGGCTTCCTTACTCGTGTCTTCTTTATTAGTTAATGCATAGGTTGACTCAATCTGTTTATTATTAAATAAGTGGTTGACTTCAGAACATCTGATAATTGTAAGGCTTACAAATCATACATTTACAGGGAGTCCTGATTTACAATTCTGCCTAACATTTCCATCACTAAGCAAGACATTTGTTGAGTTTTGCCCCATTTTACAACCTTTCTTGCTGTTCAGTGAATCATTTCAGTTGTTAAGTTAGTAACATGGTTGTTAAGTGAAATCCGGCTTCCCCATTGACTTTGCTCGTCAGAGGTTTGCAAAAGATGACGAAATAACCCCAGGACACTGCAACTGTCATAAGTACATGCCAGTTTCCAAGTGCATGAATTTTGATTACCTGCAAAGGTCAAAAGTGTGAAAAACCTAAGTCATTTTTCTTCAGTGACTTGTAACTTGTAACTTTGAATTGTCCCTAAATGTAAGTTAAGGACTATCTGTAATTAGTTTGAAACAAGCAATGTCCCATTATGCCAGCACAATCAGTTTACACATAACATTTTACAGAACTAAGCCAGCTATTTGCAAGTGCATGTATTCATATACCTTGCCTTCTCTATTCTCACCACTCATCTTCCCATAAGATCTGGATCACCTGGCTGAACACAGGTAATTCATTGGGGGGAGGTGCTTTGTGTCAGTTGGTCACTTCAGGACAGGGGTAGACAACCTTGATTCTTTTATGACTCACGGACTTCAACTCCCTGAATTCCTGAGCCAGCATGGCTCAGCTTGGAAACTCTCCCTTTCCCCACAGCATGGCTGGCTCAGGAATTCTGGGAGTTGAAGTCCACGAGTCATAAAAGAGCCAAGGTTGCCTACCCCTGGTCTAAATGGTCCTTTGTGTATGCCAAACAGACAGATTTAATGTACATGTGCAGAATTTAAGTCACTTTGCCCTCCTAAGAATCTGAATGCCCTTTGAATAACCCAGAGGGCAAATAACACATATCTTACTGCTGAATAAATACGTATAGATAATTATTATCTCAAATTAGACCTATTTTTGATGCAATGCTTTTTTCTACCCTTCTAATTTTTTTTCTCCCTTTGAAGTTTTAAATAGCTATTATCTCATGTTTGGATGAAAACCTTTAATGTACCTTGAAAATATAAAGAAAAGAGAACTTTTCATCTCTTGAAAAGCTTATCTATAGAATGTTCCTCCTGGCCCTGTCAACATGGGGAGGTTTTTTTTCAAAGGCTGTTTTATGAAAAAAGGTTCAGTCCTTCTTTCCCATTTAGATTCTGCCCTTTGATGGAGTAATGGAGCGTGAAGTGCTTCCTTCTCACAAACCCCTTCTTTCTGTTGAATCATAAACTAGCCATAATTTTCATTGGATTCTATCCAATAACCTGCTTCACAGGACTGTATCAGTTTTTAAATCCATTTTATAGCCTTTGCTTTCAGCCTTTCTCATCAGGTTCCCTTGGAGTGACTCAGCCCTCACCGTGCAGAAATGGTTACCTCAACTATTGATCCTGTCATGGTTGGCTGTGGAAATTTATTATCCTCATTGCTGGGGGTGGGAAAATATCTTGAGGATGTCAGTTGGCTGTTAGAATCGAACAAATAGCTGGCTTAGTTCTGTAAAGTATTATGTGTAACTGTGCTAACATAATGGGACATCATAATAATAATAATAATAATAATAATAATAATAATAATAATAATAATAATAATAATAATAAACTGGTGGGATCATAAAATAGAGAAAGTCATAGAAAATGATAAAATTAAACTGCTCTGGGACTTCAGAATTCAAACAGACAAGCAACTGCAACATAACACCCCAGACTTAACAATTGTCGATAAGAAAGACAAAAAAGTCTGGATAGTGGACGTGGCAGTGCCTGGAGACAGCAGAATAGAAGAGAAAGAACTGGAGAAGATAACAAAATACAAAGACCTACAAATAGAAATCGAAAGACTGTGGCAAAAGCAAGCAAGGGTAGTACCAATAGTCATAGGCTCCTTGGGTGCAATCCCAAAACAACTGGAGCACCACTTGAACACAATTGGCATTGACAAATTCGCTATTAGTCAATTGCAAAAGGCGGCCTTATTAGGAACTGCTTCCATCCTGCGACGATATCTGTAATACCATCAAACATCCACATCTGCCTATCCCAGGTCCTGGGTGAGGACTCGATAGGTAGACAAAACGCCAAATCCAGTCTGAACATCTAGCTGACTGTGCGATGATCGATAATAATAAAATAAAGTTGGGAGGGACCTTGGAGGTCATCTAGTCCAACCCCCTGCTCAGGCAGGAAACCCTATACCATTTCGGACAAATGGCTGTCCAGTCTCTTCTTAAAAATTTCCAGTGTTGGAGCATTCACCGCTTCTGGAGGCAGATTGTTCCACTGGTTAATTGTTCTGTCAGGAAGTTTCTCCTTAGTTCTAGGTTGCTTCTCTCCTTAATTTTCATCCATTGCTTCTTGTCCTGCCTCCAGGTTCTTTGGACAATGGCTTGACTCCCTCTTCTTTGGGGCAGCCCCTGAGATATTGGAAGGCTACTATCATGTCCCCCCTCGTCCTTCTCTTCATTAAACTAGACATACCCAATTCTTCATATGTTTTAGCCTTCAGTCCCCTGATCATCCTTGTTGTTCTTCTTTACACTCTTCCTTGTTTCAAACTAATTGCAGGTAGTCCTCAACTTAAAACTATTTGTTTAGGGACAATTCAAAGTTATAACGACACTGAATAAAAGTGATTTATGTTTTTCACTTTTGACCTTTGCAGCATTCCCATGGGTAGGTGATCAAAATTCATGCACTTGGAAACTGGCATGTACTTATGACAGTTGCAGTGTCCTGGGGTTATTTCATCATCTTTTGCATACTTCTGATGAGCAAAGTCAACGGGGAAGCCGGATTTCACTTAACAACCATGTTACTAACTTAACAACTGCAGTGATTCACTGAACAGCAAGAAAGGTTGTAAAATGGGGCAAAACTCAACAAATGTCTTGCTTAGCGATGGAAATGTTGGGCACCATTGTAAATCCAGGACTCCCTGTAATGTATGATTTGTAAGCCTTACAATTATCAGATTTTCTGAAGTCAAGCACTTATTTAATAATAAGAAGATTGAGTCAACCTATGCATTAACTAATAAAGAAGAGACGAGTAAGGAAGCCATGGATTGGCATACTTTGTGTGTGAACCCAAAGCATAGCTTTCCATTCTGGGTTGGGATCATTTTGCTCTAAAACAAACTTTCAGCTTGGTCTCTGAAGCCATGAGCCAACATTGCCAGGTTTGGAAAGAAGTGCCCTGGCAGATGTCTGTCCTTTTAGGGAGATTGCTTTCGCCACCTGATGAATAAGTATAGGCGGGTAAAAAGGCTTTAAAGCAGGGGTATCCAATCTGGGCAACTTTTCTAGATGCAAAGCTCAATATAACTTTAATCACTCAAAACACTTCCCTAAAGTTGACATCCAAGGCTTCTTTATATAGGGAAACCAGATTCGTTTGTGGTCCATGATCACCATTAAGGTAAATTCTGAGCTTGCAATGTCTTGCGATCCAGGAATGTGATGGGCTCCAGAGCATTCTAGTGCCAATGAAAAATGAGGGTGAAAGACAGGATCATTAGCAACCAATTACCATCGCATTTCTGTTCTCTAGACCGCAATTCAATCCACCTGGAGGAACAAGTGCTTAGGAGCAACATGATGCAGAAGAGGTGGAGTCAAGAGAGTAATCAGTCTGGAGTCCTTATGTTGCCAAAAGTGATCCAGGACTAGCCTCTCTTGAATCCGTTTAACTCTTATCTAGCACCAATTTGGTAGGCCTCAAGTTGATTAGATTCCTGTGTATAGGCCTGAGCAATAAATCTTCTGAAGTTACAATTTTACATAAGTTACAAAGTTACATATAAGCCTGTTTTTTCGCACCTGACCCATTGGTTTCTATTATATAAAAATGGAATTACTGTATTAAGAAGCCCAGCTTGACAGGGCCATCTCTTGTGCTCAAACATGAAAGGGAAACACCATGGCTTATAGACAATAAAATAAAAGGCAAAACTTGAATTCATCTTCTGCTTTCTAGTCTGGAACCTTAACCACTAGAGTAGGGGTAGGCAACCTTGGCTCTTTTATGACTCATGGACTTCAACTCCCAGAATTCCTGAGCCAACATGGCTCAGCTTGGAAACTCTCCCTTTCTCCTCAGCATGGCTGACTCAGGAATTCTGGGAGTTGAAGTCCACGAGTCATAAAGCGGCCTAGGCCTAGGCCAGGCATAGGCAACTTTGGCTCTTTTATGACTCATGGACTTCAACTCCCAGAATTCCTGAGCCAGCATGGCTCAGCTTGGAAACTCTTCCTTTCCCCTCAGGATGACTGGCTCAGGAATTCTTGGAGTTGAAGTCCATGAGTCATAAAAGGGGCAAGTTTGAAGACTCCTGCACTTGACTAGAGCAAGCTGGCTATAACATAAGTTTCTAAAATTTTATTTATTTGCACAGTTGAATGATGCTTTGTCTTTCTTCTCTGCCTCAAGGAGGCTAACTTTGCTAATTTCAACTCAATTTTAATGTTGATAGTTATTATTTTAAGGTTTAATGTTTTATCTTGTTTTACTTAGATGTAAGAGTTGCCTCTTGGCAAGACTGGTAGCTACTAACTTAACAACTACAGTGATTCACTTAACTGGGGCAAGAAAAGTCATAAAATGGTTCAAAACTCATTTATTGTCTTGCTTAGCAACAGGAGGTTTGGGTTCATGTGGTCATAAATCAAGGACTATCAGTATTTGCCCAGGAAGCGTGAATTAAGTAGCTTAGAATTAATGCAGAAAAATAAAAAAAAATATTCTTCCACATCCCTCTCTTTAACAATTGTGGACTGTGATTTTTGTCATGAGTACTTTTGTAGTTACTAGAAAATAAACAAGAATCCTAAACTTCATACTAAGCTGTTTTTCAAAAACACAATCTTGTACACAATAATATGCAGTGGGGAAAAAAAAGCATTGTTAACTAAAGGAGAGAAACAAACAAATCAAACAAGCTTATATATTAGCAGAGAAAATATTCTTCTTTGTGATCTGGGATATACACATTTACGTTTGAAGGCAGATATATAGATATATAATTTTTCAAAATTAATATAAAAACCGCCGTGTTTGAAGACTACTAAAATGCAGAAATTAATTAACATATGCATTAGAAATAAATTAAATGCATTGATAAAAGCTTCTTTCCATATACAAATATCCTTTGGCCTTTTAAAAACTTTACTGATGCCAACTGTACAAGCATTTATTCCTAAACAAAAAAAAATGTACAAAAGTCTTTATATACATTTTACATAGACGAGGAGGTGGTAAGATTAATCACAAATGAATTGGTTGTTCACTTAGGCAGTATTTACCCTCTTGAATCTGCAACTCACCTCTCTAGAAATTAAAGCTGAAAAACCCCATTTGCACTACTACAGGTTTGCCTGAATGCAAGAAAATTGTCCCAGGCTTTGGGCAGAGAGTGGAAGGCACTTTCCATCTTCTGTAAGATGCAGAAGATGCAGTGGTAGATTTGAACCAAGATCCTAACCTCTCCAAAATTGGCAACTTCAAGACTTTTGGACTTCAACTCCCAGAATTCCTCACCTAGCCATGAAGTCAACAACTCTTAAAGTTGCCAAGTTTGGGGACCCAAGATCTATGTTTTACAAAGTTATGCATGTGGTCATTGAGACAGGGGTGTGAAAAATGTCAAGATGATGGTTAGGGCAACTTTGAAGTCCCACCCATTTTAAATGAGTTTTACAGGCATGATGCGTGTAAAGAAGACAAGTGTTGGAAAATTGCCAGTTAACCTGGAAGGAGAGGTCAAATGAGGGTTTAGCTTGGAATCCATGCACAGCTGCAAGCAGTATAAGCTTGACCTCCCCCCCAAATCCATGAAGCTTTATCTGGTCATTCCCGGGAAGGCAAGCAGTCTGGGGAGATTCTTATAATATGTGTGACAAACTCTAAAGCTACTGGCTTTGGCTTTTTATGACAAGTGATGGCTGCTAGCTTCTAATAGCTATGCTTCTATGATGGCTGCCATCTTGACTGTTCCTCCATGGGCACCCCTTTCTGCAACACATATGGATACCGTATATTGGGACAACTGCCTCTAACTAACTAACTTCACACTGAAATAGATTCTGAGAGCAAAGCTGAGTTCATACATCTTGCTAAGCCACGATTTAATCATAGTTCATTAAATACATCACAATTCACCTAGCTTATATAGCCACAGATCACCTTCACAAATTCCAATGGCTAAGTTCATACAGCGTGTTGAAATCAACCCAATAAATCAAGGAGTGGCATCTCAACTTTGATGATCTGGGTCCTAGTTAAGAACTTACCTGCTCCCTTCCCAAATGGGTCATGCATTAAAGGTATTTGCTATATTTTCTTTAATCCTTAACTTCACTTTGTAAAGATCATCACCTGGATAGGCTGCAATTTTATACTTATTACCCTGGAAGTTACTCCTACTGGGCCTTGAGTAGACAATTGTTTTATTTATACATATATCAAATTTACAAACCATCAGTCTCCCTCACAGAGTGACTATTATGTCAGGTTCTCTATAGCAGGCTAATAAAAAGTCAAAATGGCAGCTTCAATCCTCTGGCCACGGCTGCCATCTTGACTCCCTGCCTATAATATCCTGAACATGTATAAGTTTCACAATTCCCATTGTGAAATGGTCATTACAATTATTGGCTACCATAATTGACTGGCAAATTAAAATCTGCCTTCTTTTCTGCCACTCTATCCCGTTTATCACTTCTTTCTGGTATTCAGTACTGAGATAAGAGATCAAGGTTCAAGATTTTATAGCAAACAGAGATGTAAGGTATCTCGACCTTTACTAAATACGCACCAGAAGTGCATTTCTGCTTTCAGATAAAAAGTGCCTATAATTTTAAGAATGAAAGCCCATGTTTATGTGAGGGGGTAGAACAGAACACTACTGACATGTTATGCCAGGAAAACCAACAGGTTAAATTTTGGAGGTTTTTTTAGATTATTTGAATCTCTGAAATATGGGAAATAGGATCTTACTAGCTTATGGTATATTTTGAGTCTTCGGATAACCTAAATTAGAAAGCTTAGCTTCAAAAGCACAAGGTGGATATTAAATCTCCTTCACCATTACATTCTGGAAGAGTACATTGGAAAACCAGCAACTTGGGTGAACGCTCTTCAAACATACTGTAGCTTAAAAATATATATCGTATTTTCCTGCTAATCTTCAGTTCCTGATGAATTCTTTCCAGTTTTCATTTTCCTATTTCCCCACCACCACTGAGACCTCCCCCACATTGTTTGCCCCTGTGGTGAGCTTTCCAAACTTCCTTCTCTATGCTCACAGTAGGAAAATTACAGTTTGAGGAAAGCTATTCCATCTTCCTTCTCAGCTCTTGCTTACTTATCCATTCATAAAACTGGACAACGATATGCTTTGGAAAATGGAAAGAGGAGAGGCTTTATGAAGCAACAAAGTCGCTGTAGAAAGCAGGAATATGTTATCTGCAAGCGCAGGATTCCACTGTCATATTTGGATAAACTTTGAGTACCACGTTTTTGTTTTCATCAAAGAATAAAATGCTGAGAGGTGACATCTTGTCTGGAACACAGCAAGGCTCCGGAATGCCAGAAACCACCCCTACGGCTCTCACTATGCTCTGAATGGTTGCGTGGTTTGATGGCTTCAGGGCCTGTGGAGAAGAAGATAAATAAGAAAACTCAATACATGGCCACAGGGCTTTTTTTGTCATATAATGCTCAGAATGGAATTCCGGCACCTTTTCTTGATGGAACCTTGTAGGGTAGACAAAGTGGGTTGTATGATGTGTGTGAGTTCCGGCACCTTTTTTTTTTTTTTTTACAAAAAAAAAAAAAGCACTGCATGGCCAACAGGACACAAAACACCGGGTTCTTCACAGCAATGAATGATGGACAGATGTCTACAGGTAGCCCTTGACTTACAACAGTTTGTTCAGTGACCTTTCAAAGTTACAACGGCGTTGAAAAAAGGACATGACCATTTTTCACACGTACATGTAGTGTCCCTGAGGTTATGTGATCAGAATTTGGACACTTGCAACTAGTTCATATTTATGACGGTGGCAGTGTCCCGGGGTCACGTGATCCCCTCTTGTGACCTTCTGACAAGCAAAGTCAATGGAGAAGCCAAGTTCGCTTAAGAACTGTGCCACTGACTTAATAGCTGCAGTGATTCACTTAACAACTGTGGCAAGAAATGTCGTAAAAGGGGGCAAAACTCATTTAACACATGTCTCATTTAACAACAGAAATATTGGGCTCAATTGTGCTTGCAAATTGAGGACTACCTGTACTGCAATGTTATCAAATGGTTATCAATTCAGCTGGGAAATGGCATTTTCCTGGAGCAGTGTTTCTCAACCTCAGCAACTTGAAGATATATGGACTTCGGTTTCCATAATTGTCACAGTCAATGCTGGCTGGAGAATTATAGGAGGTTGAAGTCCACATATCTTAAAGCTGTTGAAGTTGAAAAACACTGTCCTAGAGGTAGATCTGTAAGTGATTGGTTAGGAATCACTGTCCTTGAATCCATGAAGAATAAATATCAAATCCCACAAATTATTATTGAGAGGTAAGCATAACAAGGCCTTTAAAAAAAAACAAAAAAAAAACCTTTATGTAAATTTGAGGTTGAGAAATTGAGTAGTTGATTTTTCCAAAGCTCTTCAAAGTTGCAATAATTTCTCCAGGAAGGACAACCTGTTCGGTGGGGGCAGTAGCAAGTCCTTCTGAAGATGTTTTTGAGGAGGTTCTTCTTGAGGGCTTCCCTTAGGATTTAATGAGAAACTGGGAGGCTGAAGACCACAATGATGATTATAACATGAAAGACAAGGTCATTCCAAATAGTTCATGGCCAGCTCTCCACCACATCACACCCCTGAAAGAAATCCCCAGAGTTCTCTTCTCCTTTGCAATAATTTGTAAACAATTTGTCTTCCGTACAACTGAATAAATATTGGCAGAAGAAAACTAAAAAGAATGTCCCTTCACTGTTGAAGACAGGCGTGGGCTGTTGGGGATGAGTCAGTGAAGGGACACAGGGCAGAAAACATCCTGCAGCCAAGAAGGTCCCACACAAATTTCCACTACTCAGGGGACCCTGAGGACACAGATAAACCTCCAAGTGGCCTCAACGACTCTCTAAAGGAATGCAAACGACCAGCTGTCTGCAAGGAATATAAATCCTTCCATTCCCCACCATTCAGTCAGAGCTGAAGAAGCTTCTTGGATGAGAAGCGAAACGTCTTCAAAGAAAAACAAGGAAGTCCAGTTGCCTCCTGAAAAAGCAGCTTTGGGACAGCCATGACCTGGGTGACTGAGAATCCCCATAGATACCTGCCTCCTATTCCCACTTCTAATTCCCTTAGCCCCCCATCCCCAAAATCAACCTATGTCCCAATCTATGTTGTGTCATAGACTGATGGGTAGCCTCTTGCGATCTTTCAGAAAGTCAGAAGAACTTTGACACCTAAAAGAGATGCCCAGCCTCTCTCAAAATATCATTTGGATAAGGTTTTAAGGTAAACTGAAAGAACTTTTTCTCTTTCAAACATTCTGTTGAGAGTATTTCTTTTTCTAAAGAATTTTTAATTAAAGAGTTGAGAAGCCAGAGTTTGCAGATTAGCGAAGAGACAATTGTACAATGACTTAACTACCTTGTCTTTATCCCAGGACACCACATTAGAATAGAATAGAATAGAGTAGAGTAGAGTAGAGTAGAGTAGAGTAGAGTAGAGTAGAGTAGAGTAGAGTAGAGTAGAGTAGAGTAGAGCAGAACAGAACAGAATAGAATAGAATAGAATAGGAGCTGGAAGGGGCCTTGGAGGTCTTCTAGTCCAGCCCCCTGCTCAAGCAGGAGAACCTATACTGTCTCAGACAGGTGAAGGTCTAGTCTCTTCTTAAAAGCCTCCAGTGATGGAGCATCCACGATTTCTGGGGGCAAGCTGTTGCACTGGTTGATTGTCCTCACTGTTAGGAAGTTTCTCCTTAAATCCAGGTTGTTTCTCTCTTTGGTCAGTTTCCAAACATTGTTTCTTGTCCTGCCCTTTGGTGCTTTGGTGAATAACGTGACCCCCTCTTCTTTGTGGCAGTCTCTCAAATACCGGAATACTGCTATCATATCTCCCCTATTTCTTCTTTTATTTTTGATTGGTTGCTTGTGCTGCCCATGAATCACATCTCACTGACCAAGATGTTGCATAAATAAATTGTCAGGATAACTGCAGATGACTAATACAGTCGGAACAGATGGGATGGGGGAAAAAAAAACTTATCTGTGGATTACTATTATTTCCAAAATGCATTTGCAAGCCTGAACCAATATGCTTATTAACAAAACATTTAATACAAACATCTTATTGAAAGGGGAGTTTTTGTAATAAAACAAATAACAGAACCACTCACCGCCTCCAGGGCCTGCTGTAGATTGCCCAGCAGCGCCATGGCAGCCACACCCTCTGCCCGCGCCCCGCAGCATCAACTGTGCGCGATGGGGCATGAGGGCAGAGTCTTGTCTATGCTGCCTGGCTGCCATGTCCGTGGCTGCACTGCTCCGCATGGGCCATGCTCAGGGGTGACTCTTCTCCAGGGGGGCTGCTGGTGAGGAGGGAGTCACGGGGGGAGGCAAGGCTGGGGCAATGGCAAGCGTGTCCACATAGAGGGCTCCGAGTGCCGTCTCTGGCACCCGTGCCATAGGTTCGCCACCACTGAACTAGACAGTCAACAATGCAATACATGTTTATTTTCAGGCTTCAGGCCTGGAACTATATTTAACTTTAAAAGGCTTAAAGTTTCATAATTTAACAATAGCCTCAGTAACTCAGCTTCCAAGTCTGCATTTAAGGTCTATTATGCTTCTGGCAACAGGGCCTTTTCTGTGGTAGCCCCATCTTTCTAAAGGACTTTTTTTTAAAAAAAAGACTAATTTCTAAGCTCTTAAAAATGTTTTTAAGGTATGAACAGGTGCCACAACTCACCTACAGAACTTTGTCTGGGGGAATATTGCAAAACCTATGTTGCCATTTAAAGTTACTTTTTTCTTTTTTAAGATTCTCTTAGCTGCATGCATATACCATGTCCTTTTAAAATGTTATAAAATGATGAACAATCTCAGGAAAAAAGACATACGTTCATTTTCATGCTGAAAAAGCTATCTTTCCCCCTTACTAAAGTATAAGGAAATAGTGCAGGAAAACGATGCAAAACAAGCTCTGCAGCTTTAAAAATCACATCCATCTTTTAGGAAAGGGAAACCACCATAAACATAATTTGGGGGAAAGTGAAAATAAAGGGAGAAATAACAGCAGAAAGATGATTTGGGAAATGTGACATCAGCTGCCTGAGTGAACTGTCATGACGGTACTGATTATGTTTTGGTTTGTCTGACTTCATTTTGATGTTATGCAATTTTCTCAATGACCCAAGTTGTTAAAAATAATTGCTAGCTGCCTTGAAGGCTTGGTGAAAGGTCGTAAAATGGCAAAGGGAAAGAAAACAAATGTCAGTAAATATCCAGACAAACGTCCTGTTGTCACAAGGCCATGCCAGCTGGGGAAAATTCTTTCCAAAGCAATTGTCCTGAGGAAAAAAAATGGTCCTAAAGTAAAGCCAAACATTCAAAATGAAAATCTAGCCTTCCCTGTCCTTCTCATTTAAGCTCAATTGATGAAATGAAGCTTTTGTAAGGAGGGAGCTTTAGATCATGAAAAAAGCTTTTCCTGTTAAAGAAAGTAAAAAGTTGAGGTTTGAGGTTATTATTTTATTCTACTGCATCAAAGGGAGTTGGAAACTCATCAAGGAGAGAAGCAATTTAGAACTAAGGAGAAACTTCCTGACAGTGAGAACAATTAATCAGTGGAACAACCTGCCTCCAGAAGCTGTGAATGCTCCAACACTGGAGGTTTTTAAGAAGAGACTGGACAGCCATTTGTCCGAAATGGTATAGGGTTTCCTGCCTGAGCAGGGGGTTGGACTCGATGACCTCCAAGGTCCCTTCCAACTTTATTACTACTATTATTATTATTATTATTATTATTATTATTATTATTATTATTATTATTATTATTATTATTACTTTTCTCTTCCTTCTTCCGTCCCCTATTTTGTCCTGTTATTTGCTTTTGTATTTTATATTATAAACTAATAAAAGCAAAGAAACAGTCCAGACAGATACCAGCTTCACCACGATGTAAAAAAGATGCTGAGACTCTAGAAAGAGTACAGAGAAGAACAACAAAAATGATCAGGGGACTGGAGGCTAAAACATATACGGAACGGTTGCTGGAATTGGGAATGTCTAGTTTAATGAAGAGAAGGACGAGGGGGGACATGATAGCAGTGTTCCAATATCTCAGGGGCTGCCCCAAAGAAGAGGGAGTCAAGCTATTCTCCAAGGCACCTGAAGGCAGGACAAGAAGCAACGGATGGAAACTCATCAAGGAGAGAAGCAACCTAGAACTAAGGAGAAACTTCCTGACAGTGAGAACAATTAACCAGTGGAACAACCTGCCTCCAGAAGCAGTAAATGCTCCAACACTGGAAGTTTTTAAGAAGAGACTGGACAGCCATTTGTCCGAAAGGGTATAGGGTTTCCTGCCTGAGCAGCGGGTCGGACTAGATGACCTCCAAGGTCCCTTCCAACTTTATTATTATTATTATTATTATTATTATTATTATTATTATTATTATTATTAAACGGGAAAAGCACTTATTTCAGATCGAGTCGCACCTGGAACTTAAGGCAGGGAAACTCTTCATATCACTAGCTTCCAAGCGCTGCCTCTCCCATCCACTGCAATTCAGAAGCTGTTCTTCAGAACATGCAGAAGTGCAAACACAGCTTGTTGACAACTCATTAAGATACCTGCCTGCACTGCAGAGGCTCTCTTTCAAACAGAACCTGAAGCAATGCACGGTGGTGCCATGCACGTAGGCCTATTATTCATTGACATTCACTTGCTACCATGAAACCTTAGCAAGCCTGCAGTGAAACTGAATATATATTGGTGACTATACACATTCTCAGTGCACCCTTGCATGGAAGTGTCTGGGAGGATATGTGGATCTGGAGAAGGAAAGGAAATATAGAGCGCTGACATAATCCAAACGTTAACCGCCAGGGCAAATACCAATACGTAGAAATGCAACAAAACTGCCTAAAGTGAGGCTGCAGACAACCTGCAAATGGTCCCTCCAAATTGTAATTTTTGAACGTGGCAGAGTAAAAAAATGATGAATTGGGGCGGCCCATCAATGCCGCTCATTACTTTGATGCAATCTGAATTGCACCAATCAATCAGAATAAAGCTGGAAGGGACCTTGGAGATCTTCTGGTCCAACACCCTGCTCAAACAGGGGACCCTATATACCAGGGGTAGGCAACCTTGGCTCTTTTATAACTCATGGACTTCAACTCCCAGAATTCCTAAGCCAGCCATGCTGAGGGGAAAGGGAGAGTTTCCAAGCTGAGCCATGCTGGCTCAGGAATTCTGGGAGTTGAAGTCCATGAGTCATAAAGCGGCCTAGGCCTAGACCAGGGGTAGGCAACTTTGGCTCTTTTATGACTCATGGACTTCAACTCCCAGAATTCCTGAGCCAGCATGGCTCAGCTTGGAAACTCTCCCTTTCCCCTCAGCATGACTGGCTCAGGAATTCTGGGAGTTGAAGTCCACGAGTCATAAAAGAGCCACGGTTGCCTACCCCTGCCCTAGACCATTTCAGATGAGTGGCTGTCCAGTGTACTTTTCTCTAGATTACATCAACTTTTTAAAATGTTTTATTAGTTTTTATAGGATTAGGAACAGGGTGGGGTCGGGGTTGGGGTCAGGGTTAGGATTTTTTGAAATAGCATTCTTAATATTTAGCAAAGAGCATGTTGTCTGGGTACATGTATTTAAAAAGAAAAAAACCAATGAGTATTAACTAATTATCATAAAAATACATTAATTAATCGCTCAACAGTCTTCTTCTTACTAGTATATATTCAATGTTACATATCACATTCCTTTCTCTCTAACTCGTTTTTCTAGCCATGGATAGAAATTATCCCATGTTCTAAAATACACTGAGTCTTCTTTCTCTTTTATCTTTAAAATCAGTCTATTCATTTCTACACACTCTAAAATTTTCTTAATTAGTTCTTCTTCATTTGGTAAATTTTCATTTTCCCAATGTTGGGCCAATAGAATTCTTGCTGCAGTTAATACAAGTAAAATTACATCAACTTTTGATTGCATTTACTTAGGGACACCACTCAAACAATTAGGCATGCTCCAAAACTATTCCTGGTGTACGAGTGTCTATAAAAAGCAGTTGCTTATGTATTTTAACTGGTTGGCACATGCTCATGTTATGCAGATCGCCTAAATGCTGTTTAAAGCAGAGCAGTTGCTAAAGGAATCAATGTACATAGAATACATTTGAGAATGTCATCGGGTTTAAATGAATGCCATTGTGATTTGAATGACATTTGAGGAGTGTGCAATGCTTCTGACTTTATCCATTAATACCATCTCACTATCAACCTGATGCTGGTTACTGGATGCATTTGAGATCGTCTTAATTCAGGTAGTCCTCAACTTACAACTACCACTGAACCCAAAATCTCTGTTGCTAAGCAAAACAGTTGCTAAATGAGCTTTGCCCCATTTTACAACCTTTCATGCCACAGTTGTTAAGTGAATCGCTGCAGTTGTTAGTAACATGGCTGTTAAGTCAATCTGGCTTTCCCATTATCTTTCCTTGTCAGAAGGTTATAAAAGGGGATCACATGACCCGGAACACTGCAACTGTCATAAATATGAGTCAGTGGCCAAGCATTCAAATTTTGATCACATGACCACAGGGATGCTGCAACAGTCGTAAGTGTAAGTAACACGGTCATAAATCACCTTTTTCATGCCATTGCAACTTCAAATGGTCTCTAAAGAAATGGTTGTAAATCAAGGACTACTTGTATTTTCTTTCAACAACTTCCTTGCACCATGCACCATGGAAAAAATTCAGAGAAGAGCAGCAAAAATGATCAAAGGCCTGGAGACTAAAACATACGAAGAATGGCTGCAGGACTTGGGTTTGGCTAGTCTAAAGAAAAGAAGAAATAGGGAAGACGTGATAGCAGTCTTCCAGTATTTGAGGGGCTGCCACAAAGAAGGGGGGGGGGTCAGCATTATTCACCAAAGCACCAGAGGGCAGGACAAGAAACAATGGTTGGAAACTGACCAAAGAGAGAAGCAATCTGGAATTAAGGAGAAACTTCCTAACAGTGAGGAGAATTAACCAGTGGAACAGAAGTTGCTTCCAGAAATTGTGGATGCTCCATCACTGGAGGTTTTTAAGAAGAGGCTGGACAGTCACTTGCCTGAGATGGTATAGGTTCTCCTGCTTGAGCAGGGGGTTGGACTAGAAGACCTCCAAGGTTCCTTTCAGCTCTACTCTACTCTACTCTACTCTACTCTACTCATGCCAACCCTGCACATTATCAGATGGGACTGACTTTATGATTTATGGAATATTTCCTATTCTGACTCTGATATAAGAGAGCATCATATTTTTACTATTCTGACTCTGATATAAAATGCCTTCTTTAAATCAAATCAGATAGATAACTCAAAAGAAACGATCTCATAACAAACAAAAATATATTTTATTAGAAAGATTACTTGCATTCACGCTGTGGTTGTTACTCTTGGAAAATACATCCTTTGTCCATTTCTTTAGACCATTTCTTTAGGCAAAAGGATGATGCTCTCTTCCATACAATCTTTATAATGACTCAAGCGCATTGTGTGACTTTCGATGGCCCATGCTTCTTTCAGACAAAAAGATTCCACCCTGGCTTGTGTCCAGGAAGTCTCCCGATGACCTTTTGAGACGTCTCCCACTGACCCATCAACATACCTAGCATTTAACCCAATAACTGCCAGATATTCTAACATGCTGATTCCTGCTCTCTAGTTAGGGTTACATAGAGCTATACGTTCCATGGAGCTATACGTTCCAGAATATTTCCTTTGTTTGCTTTCTATCTGAGAGAATTATTAATGAGTTTCAAGTAATTTCTCTAGACTTTACACCAGCAGAAGCCTGTTGACATTGGAGGAAATGGAAGGACAGCAAGTCTTTGGATAAGAGAGAATGGATGCATGACATCCATTCAAAGGTTTTGACTGAACTACTGTGCATAATCTAAACCAGTGTTTCCCAAACTTGACAATTTTAAGGCATGTGGACTTCAACTCCCAGAATTCCACAGCCAGCAACTCTGGCTGTGGAATTCTGGGAGTTGAAGTCCTCATGCCTTAAAATTGTCAAGTTTGGGAAACACTGATCTAAACCACTGAAACTTGGTGGCAATCTCTTTACCTTCTGGACTCTCCTGGCCTTTGGCATCCTAAATCCATACGGAGCACTTATTTTTCAGAAAAGCACATTTTAGAAAGAAGCTGCAACTTTCACCCAGAATTAAACATTATTATATTTTTAGAAACTGGCACCAGGGGATGGAATTAGCAGCAATTTAGGAGTTCAGGCATCATTATTATGCAGCAAGAAATTGACATGGGATTTACTGTAAGATTTGATGCATTTCTCCTCTGTAATTTTGTTTTTATAACCCTGCATCAACCAGTTTTGGCTTTGCACTTAGTTTTGACAGCAGTGGCCCTTAAAAACAGATATTTATTTATGCTATCTATCTAGTAAATGGCCCATTTCCTGCATGCTGTACTGTAGCTTAATAACAAGCAAGCTGGGTTTTTAATAAGGTTTTATTTTTTTTTAACAAAGCCACATTTGGACAGCTAAAAGAGAGGATTTTCTTCATATTGCACCCAGTGGTAAAGAAAAAAACAAAACACTTTTTTTAAAAAAAGAAGAAGAAAGAAATGAAAATTTTAAAAAAGAGATACGGTACCTTCGGAATAGGGAACTGGCATTCACCTGAGCAATAATAAGCATCAAAAGATTTAGGAGAAATGATCCATTCGCTCCAGCCTATATCGGCAAAATCTACTTTGAGATAGCGCCTCGAACAAGATCTTGGCTCATTCCATTGCTTCCGCCGTGCCTTTTTCAAGGTCTGCTCATCAAACTGGAGGGTCTGGCTCTTCGGATGACTGTGTTTTCTGGGCTTTTTCTTACCCTTTGCCCTTTCTGCCAGCCGTGGCTGCAGGGTTTTGTAGTGCTTCCTCTCCTCCCATCCTTCGTCCTCACTATACTGATACTCGGCTCCTGGAAGCTCGTTGTTCTGCAAGGGGAGAAGGAAGCTGGTGGAACGCTTGGGCCGCTGTCCACGGAGGTCACTGATTGACCGGCTATCCAATTTGGGGACTGTCCCAGATGGCGGATTCCAATGGCCTTGCAAGCTAGAAACCACGCTCTCCGGTTCTGAAATGGCGGAGTCGTTGGCATAGACAAGAATGTAGGGTTCATAGCGGAGATGGAGGCTCTTCCACGGAGGTTGGCCAACAGAGGCCATTTGGACCTCGATCATGAGATGGTCACGCTCCTTTGCTCGGCTCAAGTCCTGAGTGATGTTTTTGCATTGCCACAAATGGTCATCTTGCAAAGCAGTCGAGATGTTGACCAAGTAACGTCCCAGGGTCCGAGATTGGTTTGCCGATGACTGAGAACTGAACAGCAAAAGCCTGATCTGTAGCTCAGATTTTTGGGGGCCCAGATGAGAACAGGTGTTGGGTTGAGGGCAGTGGGTGCTGCTGTTCTGGAGATCTCCAACGTAGTAATGCAACAGAGCCGACAAGATGTTTTCGGACTTGGTGAGGGAGGTTAGATTAAAAACATACACCTCTTTGCTGCCAAGTATCCCTAGAAAAACAAAACAAACATACCGACATCAGGAGAGTCCCCAGAAATCCTTCCCTGTCTTCCCTGTTTCTCTTGTAGTTTTATTAAATCGGCTCAGAGAATTTTGAGCCAGCTCCTGTCAGAATGCCATGCTATGCATGGACTGAGAGAGTGGTAAGCTAAATTGGTTTTTGAAAGAGAAAGAATGTTCAAAAATGATTTGGGCTGTAGAAAGCAATCTACTTATTGCTTTTAGCTCCAATCTAGGAGCGGTTTTTTTTTTTTTTTTAATCATACAAGCAGACACTACTGCAACAAACTGGCTTGTTCAGTTGATCAAAGAGGGAATGTAACGTGTTAGTTGAGAGAGGTAGTGATGCTCCCTTGAGGAATAGGGTGATGCTGCAAGCCTTGAAGAAAATGTCCGCTCACCCCCTCCTCCATAAAGTACAGTATTATTCAACTCAGCCACTGTCAGGCAGCAAGAATCAGGGTAACATATAAGTTTCAATTCAGAAGATTTATTGTTCAAGCCAATACCCAATAATATAGTCAACTAAAATTAAATATTAAATTGGCACCAGATAAAGGTCAATGGAATTCAAGAGGCATTGGATTTGGACCATTTATGGGAACTTAAAGATTCTAGGCTGGTGACTTGCTTAACGCCACCCCCAACTCTGCTTGCTCTTCTCCTATAGCAGTGGTGGTGAATCTATGGCATGGGAACCAGAGGCGGCACTTGGAGCCCTCTCTGTGGGCACACATGCCATTGCCCCAGCCTTGCCTCCCCCCGTGACCCCCTCCTCACCAGCAGTCCCCTTGGAGGAGAGTCGCCCCCGAGTGTGGCCCACACGGAGCAGCACAGCCAAAGACATGGCAGCCAGGCAGCGTAGACAAGACTCTGCCCTCATGCCCCATCGCGCACAGTTGATGCTGCGGGGCACGGGCAGAGGGTGTGGCCACCATGGTGCTGCTGGGCTGCCTGGGCGATCTGCAGCGGGCCCTGGAGGCGGTGAGTGGCCCTGTGGAAAGGCAGGGTGGGGACAGAGTGGGGGTGTGGCAGGGGGTGGAGCAGGGGCAGGGCCAGTTTTGGGGCACTTGGTCTCTAAAAGGTTCGCCCTCGCTGTCCTATAGCCATCTTACAAATCCCAAATCTTCTCTTTTTAAGAAATGTTGCTACAATTGTTAAGTCCGGGATGGATTATCTAGATCCCTTTTAGTTCAGCTTCAGTCTTTGGCATGTAATGAAAATCTCGTTGGCTGTTCTTATTTAGAACTTGAATAGGGACCTGGCTAAGAATAATATACGTCTGGTCTTTCACATTTTTCAGCAGCATTCAATATTATCAGTATCATTTAATGCCATTAAATATTGATCAAGCTATTCTTTGGGGCCACTGATGAAAGTTGAGGATTTTCAGCTCTTTCCCCAAAACTCTGCTCCTGTTTCCACCCCCCCCTTTTTTTTGTATCCATCCAACTGCCTAATTTAAAAGACGGTTTGTTTTTTTTTAACGTTGGTGCTGGGAAATAATTGGAATATAAAAAAAATGAAATGTAGGGATTAAACATGGTAGGAAATGCAAATGTAAGAAAGGGAAAGGAAATTTGGGATCGTTGTATTTTTTTATTTATGTGAACGAGAAACTTTTTATTTACGAAAACATCCAATGCTACAAATAAGTACATTATTCCTCTCCTTTTTAAGACATTTCTGAAACGGAGCAGCAGTTCCTTGCTTTAGAAATAGGGAAAGTGAGGACACCTACAGACAGACAATGGAATGACAAGGATGGAGACAAACCTTTAATTCTCCACCTCAGTTCATTTTATTCTGCGCTAGCTCTGCCTGTCTGTATGCCTGCACATCCAGAATACCCGATTCCCAAATTATCATATCTACTTAGAACTGTAAATACTAGCACAATTAATTTGGTCTTTGCACTTGAAAATGTAGGCCTCAACATTCAGTTGATCAAATTCATGGAGACATGGCCTTCATATAGAAGATCTGTTTTTTCTTTAAAACTGGTAAGATCCCTAAGACTAAACTTTAGACTAATATCTGGAGTTTTTTTGAAAGTGACTCATTTCAGATCTTTGGTAAGTCTTCCAAGAAGCACGGGAGAAGGGGATTCAAAAAGGGGGCGGGAATCCTCAAAAAAGGGGGCTATCAGACAATTTAAAAAAGGATCAATAGAAAATTGTCAATAGACTCTTCCACAAGGGATGTATTCTTATGTTTCTCACCAAATATAAAAAAGCATATAAATGGACAGAACCCTCACACAATGGATCAGTACAGGAATAGACTAGAGAGCTCTCCAGTAAAGTTACATAAATGAAACCAAAATTAATTAAAGCCAACATTAGTTGCATGTCAGCAGCTACAGACAGGTCTAGGCCTTAAACAGGGACACCAGTTTCCTTTGCACCAAAAAAAGCACTCAATAAGTTCTCTTAAACACTGTTCTCCTAAACCAGGGCTTTTCAACCAGTGGTACGGGTACCACCTGTGGTACATTGCACCTGGCAGGTGGTATGCGGCCATCCTAGAAAAGTGGTAGCGAGGGAGGGGAATGAGCTGAACCGGTGGTAGCACCACACAAGTCTGAACGAGAGATGATTGGAGCTGCAGGACTGTCAGGGCTCAGCGGAAGCACCAGGATCAGTGCTGCTCGACGCTGATCCTGGCGCTTCTGCTGAGCCCAGAAGAAGCACCAATCACTTGGAATGTTGCAGCATCTCCAGGGTCTTGTGATTTACATTCAGATGCTTGGCAACTGATTCATATTTATGACGGTCACAGTGTCCCAGGGTCATGTGAAGTGTCCAAAACCTGCTGCAACCACCCAGCAAATGGGGGGAATAAAAACCAAACACCCCCCACCCCACCCCCGCTGCCAATCCTCAACAGAAATGCTCACAACAATGAAAACCTCGGACAGGAGGAAAAGTGCCGCCAGGTGGGCAGGCAGGTGTCTTGCTCGGCTGTGGCTTGGGGGGCACTTTTTTCAGTGCCACTGTAACTTCGAACAGTCACTAAGTGAACTGTTGTAAGTCAAGGACTACCTGTACTTTCTCACTTTTTTCCTTTTTGGGGGGGTCATCATGTTTTTGACACTTTGCTAGGCGACTGGTGGTACTCGGATGTTGCCATATCCTAAAAGTGGTACAATGGATGAAAAGGTTGAAAAGCCCTGTTCTAAACAGTCAAATGACAGTACAAAATCATGGAACAAAACCTCTTAAACACTGCTGTGCATAGAGATTAATTTGTTAAAGACATTTGATAACACACTTCCATCATACTTTTACAGTTCTTGGTAAATCAAACTGTCAAAACATACTAGAAGGTTAACAAAGTAAACAGCAAAACCACAATAAAAACTGGCCAACTTAAAACTATAAATGTAAAGGTAATGTAGGGCTATCACACCAATAGTCAGAGAATGGAGTGAGAACTCAAACATACCTCAGTCCCATATATTAAAAAAGAGCTGCTAAAATATTAAAAAGTTAAGTCCTTTAATTCAGCTGTTATTCAGCCTTTCCTAACCAGATGTCCCCAGATAGATTGGTCTTCAGTTCCCATAATTCTTAGACTCACACTGGCAAGGAGAACTATCCAAGTGAGGGTGATCATATAGGTATTCCTCAATTTTTGACCAGGACTAGAATTTCCAAGGCTAAGTAACATGGTGGTTAAGTGAATCATCCCCAATTTTATCTTGCTTTTTGCTACAATTGTTAAGTGGATCATTGCAGTTGTTAAGAGAAACATATGGCTGTTAAACAAATCCAGCTTCTCTTGTTGACTTTGCTTGTTGGAAGCTAATTGGGGAGGGTCTCACATGGTGTCCAGTTGACCGGGACACTACAACCCTTGTAAATACATGCTGGTTGCTAAGCACTCACATTCTGATCACGTGACCATGGGATGCTATGACAGCCGTAAATGCGAAGGCTTATAAGTCACTTTATTCAGTGCTATTGTAACTTTGAACGGTCACTAAATGAAAGGTTGAAAGCCGAGAAATACCTGTAGTCATGATGAACATTTATGATCTGTCACAATTGCAACACTAAATTAGAGTGCTGATTTAGAACAGAACAGAGATAAAATGAATTTTGACGAAGCCTTAATGCTATGCAGTCTCTAAGCATGATACTCTAAGCCGATTTTTTATAATATCCTGATCATTTTATAATATCCTGATCAATCAAGGAGAGAAGCAACCTAGAACTAAAGAGAAACTTCCTGACAGTTAGAACAATTAACCAGTGGAACACCCTGCCTCCAGAAACGGTGAATGCTCCAACACTGGAAGTTTTTAAGAAGAGACTGGACAGCCATTTGTCTGAAATGGTATAGAGTTTCCTGCCTGAGCAGGGGGTTGGACTAGATGACCTCCAAGGTCCCTTCCAACTTTTTTTATTATTATTACTATTATTATTATTCTCATTAAAATGGGGAGTCCATGTAAGAAACAACTCTGATCAATTCTCTTACTGCTTAAGAGGTTGCTCCCCCCCCTACTAGGCATAATTGATTTTTATATATGACAGAATTAACAGAGTTGGAAGGGACCTTGGAGGTCTTCTAGTCCAACCCTCTGCTCAAGCAGGAGACTCTACACCAGGGTTAGGCAACCTTGGCTCTTTTATGACTCGTGGACATCAACTCCCAGAATTCCTGAGCCAGCCATGCTGAGGGGAAAGGGAGAGGTTTCCAAGCTGAGCCATGCTGGCTCAGGAATTCTGGGAGTTGAAGTCCACGAGTCATAAAAGAGCCAAGGTTGCCCACGCCTGCCCTACACCGTTCCAGATAAATGGCTGTCCAATCTTTTCTTTAAAAACCTCCAGTGATGGAGCACCCACAACGTCTGGAGATAATCATTGCACAGATTAATTGTTCTCACTGACAAGACATTTCTCTTTAATTCTAGACGGGATCTTTCTTTAATAAGCTTCCATCTGTTTTGTCCTGCCTTCAGGTGCTTTGGAAAATAGATTGC